CAGGGGGCCAGTTCACTGTCCATCAGACCGTTGGAGGGCCATCACAAACTGTGCTCGTCTCACTGACCACCAATGAAAGAGGTGCCCCTTCCTGAAGTGTGGTGGGGGGCCGGATAAATGGCCTCAGGGGGCCGCATGGGCCCCGCGGGCCGTACTTTGGGGATGGCTGCAATAAGCTGCAACTCCTCTTGCTCTCTCTTATCCCGCACATCTGACTACTATCCAGTCCTGCTATTTGCATTTTCTTTCAACGAGTCCAGCTTTGTGGCTAGAGCGCAGACTCTGGAGCAAGACAGCCTCAAAGCTCAAAGCTCAGCTGAGATAGAAACCACTGTCTGACACTGGGGGAGCTATTTAACTTCTCTGGAGCTCAGGTGCCTCTTCATTGGCAGGTTCTATATAAGTATAAGCTATTATTAAGAGTAGTAATCAGGCCGGGCGCGGTGGCTCAAGCTTGTAATCCCAGCACTTTGGGAGGCCGAGGTGGGTGGATCACGAGGTCGAGAGATCGAGACCATCCTGGTCAACATGGTGAAACCCCGTCTCTACTAAAAATACAAAAAATGAGCTGGGCATTGTGGCACGTGCCTGTAATCCCAGCTACTCAGGAGGCTGAGGCAGGAGAATTGCCTGAACCCAGGAGGTGGAGGTTGCGGTAAGGCGAGATCGCGCCATTGCACTCCAGCCTGGGTAACAAGAGCGAAACTCCGTCTCAAAATAAATAAATAAATAAATAAAGAGTAGTAATCAATCCTTTTCCCCTCCTCCAATCCGAAGGCCCCATCAGTTTCTTGACTGGAGTGTCACAGTAACTTTCTTCCTGGTCTCCTTGCCTGCTACTATCTGATTCTCCAATGAGGATTGGCTATATTGTGTAATAATAGCGGTCATCATTCCACAGAATTCAATGTAAATGGCACCCCTACTTCCCAGCTTCCCTGGCACCCGTCCCACTGCCATTTCCAATGTATACATTTTCTCATGCCGATTCTTAAAAAGATTTTCTCTTCGTCTTCAAACTAAAACTCCACTCCACAACAGGCACCAGCTGATAGCATCTCCTGGAGAGGTAGATTTGGCAGTCATCGGTGGAGGGATCATGACCAAGCCTTTCATAATGGAAAATAATGACATTCATTAAGGGTTAATATGTGTAGCTGCTGTGCCAGGTCCTCCCGAAATAACTTAAGAAGCAGGTGGCATCCCTACCCACAGCTGAAGAAACAAAGACATGGAGTGAGAAATGGACTTAAAGGTCTCACGCTTTGGAAACTACAAAGTTCAGAGAGATGAAGAGCAGGGCTTAGAAACTCCTAATCTGAAGCTTAGCACCTTGGCTGCTGCTTTGTGTCAAAGTGACTTGGATCCTCCAGGCAAAGGGGGGTTGTTCAGTCTTACTGATATAATTTCAAGCAGCACAGCTCCTGATAGACTGTGAATTTAAAAATAAACAAATCAATAAATAAATAAAGACTGATAGATGGATAGGGATGAACGGCAGGGTGGATTATAATAAAGTAAGAAAGTAAAATATTAGTTATACAGTCTACATGGTAGATATATTGGGATTTACTGAAAATTCTTTTACCTTTGCTATATATTTTAGAAGTTTTATAATAAACTGTTGGGGAGGGGGAAGGGGGAAGGAAAAAATCGTGTTTTTCTGTTGATAACAGAGACCAGAAGTACTACTGGCTTAAACAAAACAAGGGTTTATTTTCCTTTCATGGAAAATAAACTTACTTAGAAATTTGACCTGAGTATTAATATGTGATAAAATTTTTAAAAGGAAAAAATTGTTTTGAAATAAATTTGGATGGTGACAGTCCAAGGCTGATCTGGCACTTCAGAGATGTCATTCATTCCCCAGCCTGCTTCTGTCTTCATTCTCTGCTGTCCCGGTGTGAGGCTTCCAACCTTAAGGTTGCCTCATGGTCCCAGGGTGGGTACTGCACCTCCAGGTCCAAAGTCCATGTTCTAGGCAAAAGGAAGTAGAAATGAGGGAGAATGCATCCTCACACTCCCAGCTATTTTGGCCTTCCCTTTGAAGGATTTCTGGGAGAAGCACAGGCCCACAGTTTTCACCTATAAACCATTGGCTCAAACTTAGTCCCTTGGCCTCCCCGATCTCTAAGGGGGAAGAGCAGGTTGGAGCACCCAAGAAAATTTGGCCTTATCACTAAGAAGAAGGGGGAATGTGTGCTGCAGAAGCCTCCAGCCTTCTCAGCCAGATACCACACAGCCTAAATTCAAACTGTTGTATTATAATCAAATCCCGTCAGCTCCAGTCGCATCTTAGCCCTAGGAGCTTTCTGGCTTGCAACCCAAAGAGTGTCTTTTGAGGCCCTATGCCACAGGGAGAACCAGTTAGTCCCATATTCCCCTACAGAGATGGTGTAAGGGAAATGAGCCTTACAGAAACCAACCTTTCAAGGGTCCAGCTTCAGAGAATATGTACTCCACTGGCAGTGTGAGAAACGAATATCCAGGAAAATACAATGTAGCACAAAGAAGGAGCTGAGGGTGAATGAAGATGCTCAGAAATATCTCCACTAAGAGTTTCCTAGAAAAGGTAAAGCATGTCCAGCAGCACTGCCTCTGGAAACCAGAAAAATTGTATTATTTGATAACAGATCGTAAGCCTAAATGCCAGAGGTTCTTAAAAAGATTCGGTTTGTCTAATTTTTTTTCTTCTTTCTTCTTTTTTAAAAAAATTCTATTTAAATTTTTATTTTTTATTTTTTCTAAGATGGGGTTTCATCGTGTTGGCCAGTTGGTCTCAAACTCCTGAGCTCAAGTCATCCACCCACCTTGGCCTCCCAAAGTGCTGGGATTGCAGGCGTGAGCCACCGCGCGCAGCTAGTTTGTCTAATTTTCTTTCCATTCATACCTTTATTTGGCTCTGTAAAAAAAGATCCTCTTCGAAACCCCGACTCTATTAAAAATACAAAAATTAGCTGGGCATGGTAGCAATGAGGGCAGCTGAGGCAGGAGAATCACTTGAACCCGGGAGGCAGAGGCTGTGGTGAGCCGAGTTTGTGCCATTGCATTCCAGCCTGGGCAACAAAAGTGAAACTCTGTCTCTTAAAAAAAAAAAAAAAAAAAAAAATCCTCCTCTACTACATACCTGTCTAGATGGAAGCAAACTGCCACAAACGTATTTTAATTAGTGCACATCTTCCTTTCACACATTAATTTTTTTTTATTTTCCTACTCCATTCTACTAATATATCTACTATGATATAAAAGACATAAGACAAGTGAATACCAGGAAATACTTATATACATGCACACACACACAAGAATGATTCAAATAGATAAACAGAGAAACGGAAACACTAGGGTAAATAGGCCTGGAATTTTTCTTCAACGTGTACAATTCAATGCACTTTTAGTTTTCATTTCACCCTTCCTCAGTGTTTTCTGCCCAGCAATTGATGAGAAATACTGCCTCTGAGCCAGTCAAAACACTAATTCTTCCAAAGAGAGCCTCTGTTACTGTTTCTCATGGTGAGAAGACAATATTTGCCTGCTCTTTTTTGTTTCTTCCAGATGGGAGACTCAGCCAAATTAGAAAGAATGGAGAATTATTGATTGACCATCTTTATTCTCCAATTCTTGGATGAGAATACCAGGGGGTAAGTGCAGGAAATTGATGAGAGCCTAGGCTACAACATCTGGGAGGAGTGGGGCCAAAGTGTCCTTTCACTCACTAACCTCTGATCTTCAGTTTAGCACTCATACTTTTAAACATTTTCAGGTATTTACATATATAGTTATGCAGAAATGTAAAGCTTTGCTTTTGTTTTTCAATTGAATCGTTAGTATAGTTGTGCAAGGTGCTTTTTTTTTTTTTTTTTTTTTTTTTTTTTTTGAGACGGAGTTTCGCCCTTGTTACCCAGGCTGGAGTGCAATGGCGCGATCTCGGCTCACCGCAACCTCCGCCTCCTGGGCTCAGGCAATTCTCCTGCCTCAGCCTCCTGAGTAGCTGGGATTACAGGCACGTGCCACCATGCCCAGCTAATTTTTTGCACTTTTTAGTAGAGACGGGGTTTCACCATGTTGACCAGGATGGTCTCGATCTCTCGACCTCGTGATCCACCCGCCTCGGCCTCCCAAAGTGCTGGGATTACAGGCTTGAGCCACCGTGCCCGGCCTGCAAGGTGCTTTTTGATTACTTAGTTTATCTCCATTATCCAGGCTCATGACAATAAATCAACTCTTTTTACCTGCTGCACTGACTTCCCTCTGCAGGATGAGTCATCATTCCCCTCAGCAGTCTCTGCTGGGTGGCTGGCTCAGTTGGTTACCACTTTTATATTAAAAATAGTGCTGCAGTGTTGTTCACACAGAGACTTCTCCCTGCACGCATGCAAGGACTTTGCTGGCATAGATATCAGGAAGTGGAATTGCTGGACCAATTGTGCACATTCTAAGTTTCATACCTGATATTTTTGAGTAACTAAAATTTAAATGATTTTGTCCCATGACAGAGATCATCAAGCTTGTGACTTGAAGAGCTTTACTTATTGTGTACCTTTTTTGTGTCCCTACTATAGTGGGTCCAGCCCATTGTGAGTGCTTAGTAAATATTTGTTGAATAACTGTCTGAAGGGAAGAAAGAAAAGATGAGTAAGGCCTGTTCCTACTCAAAGCTCTCCTAATCAATATCTTTGTGATTAAACGTTGTGGGTTCAGGTCCTGACTGACTTCAGAGCCTCCACCAGGCAGTCTGCCTGGATCCCACCAGGAGCCTCCAGGCCATGAGTTGACCATAGTAATGGCCAAGAGTTGGACCCTTGTGGAGTCCATAGTGTTGGACACCCAAAGAGGTGAAGACAGGGGAACCAGGGAATCCAGTGAAGACGGTCCTTCATGAATCAGAGGAGGATGATGGGGGCTTGGACCTCACAGGGAAAGTGATAGGATTCTGAATATTTAAATATTTTAATGCAGTAGAATCAGAAATTTCCTGATCAGATAACAGATGTTGTTTTTGCAGATGATTTTCCATGTTGGAACGCAAAGGTAAAGACACTCAAGGACAGAAATCTTTTGCAGAGGCAAGATCTTCCTCAGTCACCATACTTGATTAGCTGTGGGGAAGTGGAGGCTTCCATGTAGAATTCCATAGATTCTTCCAGGACATAGTGTCTGACCCACACTTTCTGGTGTCTCCTGATACACAGCACGGATGAAATGGCGAGTTCCCTGGCCTTTCTTCTGCTCAGCTTTCATGTCTGCCTCCTCTTGGTCCAGCTGCTCACTCCTTGCTCAGGTAGGAAACGATTGCACATTTATGTTTCTGAAGTAGACAGTTACCTGTTAGTGTTCTCATAGGACTTTTGACTCCTTCCCATACTCGAAGTTCATGCCAACCCATGGGTTCATGTGTCACTAAGAGACAAATGATGTTCTCCTTAGGATCGTGTTCCCCTCTAGGGTCTCTGTATCTCACTTTCCCTGTCTGAGAAGCACCCTTCCTCTCATGACGCCAACCCCAGCACCCTCTGACGAAGCCTCCCCCTTGTGCCGACAGCTCAGTTTGCTGTGCTTGGACCCCCTGGGCCCATCCTGGCCATGGTGGGTGAAGACGCTGATCTGCCCTGTCACCTGATCCCGACCATGAGTGCAGAGACCATGGAGCTGAGGTGGGTGAGTTCCAGCCTCAGGCAGGTGGTGAGCGTGTATGCAGACGGAAAGGAAGTGGAAGACAGGCAGAGCGCAGAGTATCGAGGGAGGACTTCGATTCTGCGGGATGGCATCGCTGCAGGGAAGGCTGCTCTCCGAATACACAACGTCACAGCCTCCGACAGCGGAAAGTACTTGTGTTATTTCCAAAACGGTGACTTCTATGAAAAAGCCCTGGTGGAGCTGAAGGTTGCAGGTGAGCCTCCGGGTTTTGTTCTGAGAATATTTCTCCATAGGCTCTAGAACAGATGCAGAGTTCCTCTTCCAGAAGCACTGCAGACAGCCCTGGCTGCTCACTAGCAATTGCCTGTGCTGCCTTCCAACTTAGCCTCTCTGAGCCCCTTGAGTAGGACACAGGTTTTCCTTTAGGAAGAATTCCTGCTGTGCCCTACATGCTCAAGTAAAGAACTCCCTTCCTCTGGCCACCAGAGACATAAGGCAAGTGAAGGAGGAGGGATAGGAAGCATAAGAAATTGTCACGTCAGTGGCTGGGACACAGTCATTTTGGTCTAATTGAGTAACAGACGGCTCCTGTTGTGTCACCAAGTGCACAATACCACGGGCCTGGGAGGCGCCATAGGGACTGTATCTGCTGCCAGTGTTTTCCAATCAGTCACCCACAGGAATATTCCTAGAGTAAAACAAACTGTTTCTTTTTTCTTTTCTTTTTTTCCTGTTTTTTTTTTTTTTTAATTGAGATGGAATCTCGCTCTGTCACCCAGGCTGGAGTGCAATGGTGTGATTTCAGCTTGCTGCAGCCTCTGCCTCCTAGGTTCAAGCGATTCTCCTGCCTCAGCCTCCTGAGTAGCTAGGATTGCAGGCGTGAGCCACCACGCCTGGCTAATTTTTGAATTTTTAGTAGAGATGGGGTTTCACCATGTTGTTCAGGCTGGTCTCAAACTCCTGACCTTATGTTCCACACACCTAGGCCTCCCAAAGTGCTGGGATTACAGGCGTGAGCCATTGTGCCTGGTCGATATATTTCTTACTTGCTGCATTGAGGAAGAACACACATCACAGGGAGCTGTGGCAGGGTCTCAGTCAGAAGGTGTTAGAGCAGACTTAGTATACAATTGGGCCTGTGTTAGGGGATTTGGGGGAGGGTTTATAGACTTAGTCCTCCACTCTGGATGAAATATCATCAGGAAGGCGTGGCAGGTTAATTCTGCTAATCAATCTTATCTAGGAGGAAGGAGACTAGGGTGAGACTAAAGCTGCAATTGATGAAGGGGCCGAAGTTCCTCACTGCCGCTGGGGGATGTTTGGTCGGGGGATGTTGCTGTGGTCTGGACAATGTTCATGTTTTTCTCTGCACTCACGCATGATGTGGGTGGTCCTGTTTTTCCCACGATCCCTCATCGTCACAAAGTGCCATGGTCTGATGCTGCTGTTCTGTGAAATTGCTTTTGTTCAATAGGAGGACATGGAGACCCAGCGTCAGTTTCCAGATGTTAGGACGGCCTTTCTCTTTCTCGGTGCAATCCCTTGCCCTTGGTTTCTGGTTGGGTTTGGTTTAAGGGGATCTATAGCAGACAATCATAGGAGGAAGGAAGTCTGGGTGTTTATTCCCTGGCTTCCTTCCTGCAAGGTACCCTCAGGCTGGCTGCATTGCCTTTCTGAAGGTCACAGCTCCTCTCAAGAAAGTCCTCAACGAAGTTTCCCAGTTTATAGCGAAGGGCTGTACTCGCTTCCAGAGGCTGCCACACCCTGAATCCTAGCGTCCTCCTCATCTTCACAGCAGCAACAGTGTCTTCAGCCTCTCCCCATCTTTGAATTTCTCCTAGTTCTTTTTCTCTATTGTATCTCTGATTCTTCTTTTCTTTTCCTTTCTTTTTCTTTCTTTTCTTCCCTTCTTTCTTTTTTCTCCTTTTCCTCCTTTCTTTTCTCCTTCCTTCCTTCCGTCCTTCCGTCCGTCTTTTCTTTTTTTGTGTCAGGAACTCGCTTTGTCACCGAGGCTGGAGTGCAGTGGCGTGATCTCGGCCCACTGCAAACTTTGTCTCCTAGGCTCAAGGAATCCACCTGCCTCAGCTTTCTGAGTAGCTGGAACCACAGACCCACACCACCATGCATAGAATTTTTTTTTTTTCATTGCAGAAACAGGGTCTTTCCATGTTGCCCAGGCTGGTCTCGAACTCCTGAGCTCAAGCAATCTGCCCACCTCGGTCTCCCAAAGTGCTGGGATTATAGTCATGAGCCAATGGGCTTAGTCTGCATTTTACTTTTAATGACTCTTGTGATTAAATTGAGTTCACCCAGACAATTTAATCTCTCTATTTTAGGTCTACAATTTTAATTCTGTATAAAGTTCATTTAGCCAGTTTTACATTCTATTCACCAGTGTCATAGAGGATATAGCTCAAAGCGTGGGTGGGAGAGCACTATTCAGCCTATTACACTTATTTGGAAAGTGATCCCAGGAAACACAATTGCAGAAATAAACTGAGAAATGAAAGAAAACCAATTACATGAGAAATGGCATAAAGGATTCACTCATGCAGTAGTTACCATGTGGATATCTTGGCTCAATCACTTTTAGGACTCTCTAAGAAACCATATGAAATGTGTGATACAGCTCAGAATCTTCCTAAGGATTACAGGGCATGAGACTTTATACTTCCCATCCTCCTTTGCTTGAATTGGTTGAAGGTTGGCCTGGGAGTGTTAATTCTAATGCACTTGAAGATTGGGCTATGTAACTGCAGAAAAAGAACTATCACTGGTTTGATAAAGCTCTCAGGCAAAGGAGAAGGGAGATGGGAAGGTTATTATCCTTGCGGGGAACTGTGCTTCAGCTATTGGCAAACTCTGATAGGCCAAGAGAATATGGGATGGGGCATCAACAGCATCTGTTCTAAGGGCTCTGCCTCTGAGAATATAGGGAATGCCTTTCAAGGTCTCTCTGCACCCCCGCCCCCCACCATATTCACTTAGCATTAGTGACCTCTTGTCTTCCATACATGTGCATATCACATGGCCCTGCAGCCTCACCACATGGACTAGGTCTGGGATGGACACCTGACCCAGGCTGGGCCCCGGGACCAAGTGACATGTGACCAGTTACACCTGTAGCAGATGTGCATGGGAGCTGTGGGAAGAAATCTTCCATTCATGGTGCAGACTAAAGAATGGTGGATCTTCCTTCCTGGTCCCTGAACTTCTGACCTAGAGTGGCTTAATCCTGCTGCTACTTCTCTCTGGCACTCTACTGCTGAATAATTCCAGGAACTGGGCCACGCTGTGGTGGGAGTGACCTTACCCTGAGCACGTCACTCACTCACTGAACAACAGCTGAGAGCAGAGCTTAGGCCTGGGCCCTATAAGGAGAGAGGAATCACATGCTGCAGAGGTCTGTCCTGAGGAGCAGGTACTCTAGCCACAGCAAAGACACAGTTGATACCTGGATCACAATAATAGAAGACAGGACATGAGAACAGCAAAAGATGTGGGTGTCAGAAGAGGCTGAGAACACTTCAGGCAGGAGCACTGAGTTGTGCTCATAGGATGGAGGCACGAAGGCTGGGCAGGATTTCAAGGGCAGAGAGGGAGCAAACAATTCAAGTGAAAGGCGTGGCATGAAAAAGGGAGCGCTGGCCACAGGGAGTGCAACGTTGTGACAGAAGGCCGCTGTGGAGCCATTGCTAATGTATTAATGCAAAGCTTGGAATTCAATCGGAAGGGGATTGGAGACCTCCAGACTAAGCATTTACTTATGTATATTTTATTTTTTATTTTATTTATTTATTTTTTGAAGCAGAGTCTCGCTTTGTCACCCAAGCTGTAATGCAGCGGCATGATCTTGGCTCACTCTAACTTCCTCCTCCCAGGTTCCAGCGATTCTCCTGCCTCAGCCTCCTGAGTAGCTGGGATGACAGGTGTACCACTTCCCCCCGCCCCCACCCCCCAGCTAATTTTCGTGTTTGTGTGTGTGTGTGTGTGTGTGTGTGTGTGGTTGTTGTTAGTTTTTTTGTTTGCTTGTTTGTTTGGTAGAGATGGGGTTTCACCATGTTGGCCAAGCTGGCCTTAAAACTCCTGTTTTCAAGTGATCTGCCTGCCTCACCCTCCCAAAGTGCTGGGATTATAGGCATGAACCACCACACCAGTCCTAGACTAAGTATTTAGACATTTGAGGGGAATATTGACAACTAGGCCTTGGGAAGATTATTCTGAAAGATATCTATACAATGACAAGATTGGATTCTGTGGGTGAGGGATTATGGTCATGTGGAGGAGGGTATGTGTTCTCGTGTGTGTGTGTGTGTGTGTGTGTGTGTGTGTGTGTGTATTTGTGTGTGTGTCCCTTAGACCTAACCCTACCACCTACTGGCAGAAGGTCAAGGCCAACTAGAAAGTCTTTGCTCACTTTCATTTGTGCCCCCACCAGAATGCCACCTCCCTGAGGAAAAGGGATTTTGCTGCTCACTCAATATCCTCAGCACCTCTTATCCAATAGCTCTGGAATGAATACAAGGCCTTCATAACAGCCAGTGCAACTGCTGTCTCCTTTCCTTTGCTACCCCTCCCTCTCCAGCCATGCCTGCTTCCCCCAAGCCCTTCCGCGCTCCGGGCCCAACCTCCAAACCCAGCAACTTGAACAAGAGTGATCTGGCTTTGGAAAGAGGACGGCTTATGTTTTCCTCCTCATGTTTCCTCCCCAGCGAAATCACTCTCTACTTAGAGAGGCCTCTCTCCTTGTGGATACCAGCAAAGCGACCAACACTGTGGGGAATCTCAAGGCTTTGTAAAAGAAAGAAACAAAGAAAGAGAGCGGGAGAGAGAGAGAAGGAAGGAAGGAAGGAAGGAGGGAAGGAGGGAAGGAAGGGAGGGAGGGAGGGAGGGGAAGGAAAGAAAAAGAAAGAAAAAGAGAAAGGTAAGAATAAAGGAAAAGAAATAGAAAAAGAAAAAAAATTGACAGAAAGAGACAAAGAAAGATAAAGAGAAAAATTTTTTTAAAGTCTTACTTTCAAACAAAGAAAAAGGAAATAGAAATACCTAATAACCCCCAAAAGGTTATCTGCTGCTTGAGCGTTTTGTTTTTGTTTTTCTGTATTCTACCTAGTAACTGCTGAGAAATAAGGCTCGAGACACCATTGGCTGGTTCACCCGCACCCGACCAATCCTGGGCTCTAAACTGTTCAGTGGAAATCCTCCGACTCTTCGGACACCAAGGCCCGGGTTCCAGATCCCCGGTCTCGCGCTACTCCGGACCTCGCGATTAATGGGAAGTGAGGAAAGCTTTTCTCTTCTGTTTGGGATGCTTTGTTCTCTGGTGGTGACTGTGCCAATGGGTGAGTTGTATCCGGAAAATCGTCGTGTGAGGACCAGAGGAGAAAAGAAGACGCCACGTTAATTCTACGAGGTGCGGAGGGGAGGGGAGGCGCCGCAGCTCCGGGGCGGGGCGGTGGGGGGAGCGGCCTCCGCTGTGGACGCGAGCGCGGGGCCTGGGAGAGGGAGGCCACGGCGGGGAGGCGCGGGCTGGCCTGGCTTTACCTCCCGTGGCCCGGCCTGGGTGCGGGGAGCGGGAAGGGAAGGGAGGAGGGTGCGGAAGATTCCAGCGACCACTGAAGAAAGCGGACGCTGGCCGGAGAAGTGAGTGGAGGAGGGCGGGAAGCGGCCCGCTCCATCTTGGCCCTGATTGCTTATTCCGTGGAATGTTTAGGGAACCCTCTCTCGGGAGGTACCTGAGCCTTCACATGCAGGGGACTCGCTGACGTTGGGGGCTGATGAGACCTACTTGAGTGACAGGAGAGGTTGGGTCCGACCAGCACCGAGGGGCCAAGACTCCTAGGCTGATTCTCTTCCCTGTAACCCTAGGCCTCGGGTCCCTGCCTGCCCCGGTGCTCATGGAACCTGCTGCTGCCCTGCCCTTCTCCCTGCCAGCCTCCCTCCTGCTCCTCCTCCTCAGCCTGCGTGCACTGGTCTCAGGTAGGAATGTGTGCCGCGTGCTGCTGTCACCTGTGGGAAAGGAGCGTCAACGCTGCAGTCTGCAAAGGGAAAGGACTGTGGGATCGTTGACTCAGCCTTTCATTCTGAGCATGCCCACTGAATTTACCAGCCCTGTCCGAAAGAAATACAGCCAGGCACAAAGGTCAAGTGCGTGTACAATAGCACATTTTCAAAAAGTTTTTTAACTTTTTATTTATTTGTTTATTTATTTAAGTGGCAGTGTATTGCTCTGTAGCCAGGCTGGAATAAAGTAAATGGAGAATGAGATCATATCTCACTGAAACCTGGAACTTTAGGGTTCAATGGATCCTCGCATCTTAGCTTCCCAAATAGCTGAGAGTACACGCAAGGGGCACCACACACGACCAAGTATTTTTTTTTGTTTTTTTGTTTTGAGATAATGGTCTCACTGTTTTGTCCAGTCTGGTCTTAAACTCCTGGCTTTTAAGAATCCTCCTACTTTGGCCTTCCAAAGCTCTGCAGTTACAGGCGGAGACCCTGTGCCCAGTCTATGTTTTATTTTAAAAAGTAAAAGTGAGCTGAGCACCATGGCTCATGCCTGTAATCCGAGCACTTTGGGAGGCTGAGGCGGGTGGATGGCCTGAGGTCAGGAGTTCGAGACCAGCCTGGCCAATATAGTGAAACCCCATCTGTACTAAAAGTACTAAAAATTAAGTGGGCATGATGGTGGGAGCCTGTAATCCCAGCTACTAAGGAGGCTGAGGCAGGACAATTGCTTGAACTTGGGAGGCGGAAGTCAGAGTGAGCCGAGATCGCACCATTGCTCTCCAGCCTGGGCAATGAGAAAAACTCCGTATCAAAAAAAAAAAGAAATAAGTAAAACCATGTATGAAATAAATTTTAATAATATATTTTTATGTAAATAATCAAATATCAATGTGTAAAGGCTGAGTTAATACAAAATATTACCAATGAGATATTTGACATGTTGAAATTTTAAATCTTTATAATCTGTATGTGTTTCACACTTAGAGTTCATTTCAGTCGTAACTGTTAAATACCTAGCAGATGTATACCCTGTTGGACAGCTCAAGTTTACACTATACTCAGGCACAGCACTAGATTGCAGAATGGTGGAAAATCTCAGCGGCACAGGGTGAACAGAGGGTGCCAAGGTGGGCTCCCCACTGTTTTCCTTTATGAAGCAGGAGCAGACTCAATACTTCCTGCTCCCAGGGACAGGTACTGCCGACCAGCCACAGCTACTGGGCCCCAGAAGTTCTCAGCCCCCAAACCCCTGTGGCCTTGGAATATCTGCTTCCTTGTCCCTGGAGTATCTGCTTCCTTTCCTGCCTTAGAGATGTGTTGACGTGTCCTTGTCTGACTCTATCCCTTTGTTGAACAGCACAGTTTACTGTCATGGGGCCAGCTGTTCCCATCCTGGCCATGGTGGGAGAAAACACAACGTTACGCTGCCATCTGTCCCCTGAGAAAAATGCTGAGGACATGGAGGTGCGGTGGTTCCGGTCTCACTTCTCCCCGGCAGTGTTCGTATATAAGGGTGGGAGACAGAGAACAGAGGAGCAGATGGAGGAGTACCGAGGAAGAACCACCTTTGTGAGCAAGGACATCAGCAGGGGCAGCGTGGCCCTGGTCATACACAACGTCACAGCCCAGGAGAACGGCACCTACCGCTGTTACTTCCAAGAAGGCAGGTCCTATGATGAGGCCATCCTGCGCCTCGTGGTGGCAGGTACATCACTTCCTTTTGCTTTGTTACTTTTGCACAGTGTGACTCTTGGGGACAGTTTCTTCCTTAACTTCAGGCCCATTGCAGACTAATGTCTGGAGTCCCCTTTCCACAGGGAGAGTGGCTTCTTCCTGCACAAGGGCCACATGAGTGGGTTTACCTTGCTAAGCTATGGGCTTCACTTTTTGAGAAGCATACGCATTCCTCAGCTGAGGCCATGAGCAGGGGAAAATAGTTCATCTCGGAAAAGAAAGTCTTATGTCTGCCTTAGCACTTCTGAGAGTGAGAGGAGACACTGTCAAATATTGTCCCGGGGCAACTAGAATCAATAAGAACTGCCCAGAGAATGACGACATACAAAATCTGATTTTTCGATAAATGTTAATCTTGACTTTTTCTTCTTTCTTGAAATACTGATTATAGAACGAATGACTTATATGTAAATAGATGATTTTATTAAAGCACAACTAAATACAGAAGCAAAATTATGTATAATTCCTGCTAACTCCACAAAGGAACACTAAGAATTTAGCTGAGAAGAGATTGGCAAGGCTTCCGCATAGAAATACTGGGATTTCTAGGAGTTTGTTTTGTTTTGTTTTTGTTTGTTTGTTTGTTTTGAGTTGAAGTCTTGCACAGTCACCCAGTCTGGAGTGCAGTGGCAGAATCTCGGCTCACTGCAACCTCCTCCTCCCAGATTCAAGCAATTCTCCTGCCTCAGCCTCCTGAGTAGCTGGGACTACAGGCATCTGCTACCATGCCCAGCTAATTTTTGTATTTTTGTTAGAGATGGGTTTCACTGTGTTGGTCAGGCTGGTCTTGAACACCTGACCTCATGATCCACCTGCCTTAGCCTCCCAAAATGCTGGGATTACAGGTGTGAGCCACCATGCCCAGCAGGAGTTTGTTAAGGTGACATTAAGTGACTACCTCAGTCTTTGGGTTAGTGTATTATGCTTTAAAAAGTATACTTCAGAACTGAAAAAGTCTTTAAGGTGCAGAATAATTCTTGGTGGCATTTCAGTCCATCAGACCAATGAGGCAAGGACTGGGAAATGGGGTTCTTCCCAGAGGGGCACAAATCATAACAGGTGGGAGACCCCATCTTTGCTACCCACAAAGGCAACCTTACAAGTGATTAAAACAGAATATTACAGAAGGAGGGTTTCCAGCGTCCTGACTGTGTGCACATCAGCACTGCAGTGTTGCCCAGTAATGAGTGGTTTCTATGCGGCAGGGACCCACTGCTCCTTCTCTGTAAAACTGACCCTGGCCTGGCCTTCTCCAGTCTGAATTGGGTTGCTGTAGGACTTTTTGTTTGCTTGCCTATTGTATTCTGTTTGTTGGATTGGTTGGTGGTTGATTTTTCCCTTAAATCTATTGTGTCGTGCTTACCTGTATTGAACACTATGGAATGTTTTGTAGGACTTTGTTTTCCAATTTGCTGAGCTATTTTAATTTCTTTTCTAATTTAATTTCTTCACTTCTTGAGAAGCACAAGCATTCCTCAGCTGAGGCCATGAGCAGGGGAAAATAGTTTTCTATTTCTACGATTTCTGCATGAGCCTTCAAATGCACAACTAGTTTTTCTTCTCCTGACAAAAAAAAGAGTGAGCAGAAAGCATTAGACTTAAGTGATTGCTTTAATTTCCTGTCTTTGGTATAATTTGTTGGGAAACTTAACAAGGAGTCATTCAGGAGAAGTTTGGATGATCGCACGTGGCTGAAGGGTCTCCCAGGACCATGCTTTTGCAGCTCTCTCACTCTTGATAGTCTCTTTTATTGAAGATTCTAGTAAAGTAGAATATATTTAAATGAGCCTGAATTATTAGGATTTTTGATGCTGATCTCCGACATTGAGGAGGCGATATGGTTATCTTAAGGATCCCACGGGCATCTAGATATTTCTAATACACCGATGCTCTCACAGGACTATAAGAAAATTGTCTAATGGATGGAACCTCTGGGAGGTAAACAACTGTGAATTAGAATAAGAATTGGCTTTGCCCGAGAGCTCTGTCTGTTCTCCTAAAAACAGTCACCTCCTATAGTGATAGATAGCCATGGTGATGTGAGGCCCTGAACTAGACAAAAGTGACTAGTTTGGTGACTTTGGGTCAAAGTTTTTTAAGATTCTGCAAAGGCTGAGTGTGGTGGCTCATACCTGTAATCCTAGCACTTTGGGAAGTCGAGGTAGTTGAATTGCCCAAGCTCAGGAGTTTCAGACCAGCCTGGGCAACAGGGCAAAACCCCATCTCTAGTTAAAGAAAAAAAAAAAGGAAAAAATAAGATTATGCAAACTTGGCAGGTTTCTGTCATTAGTGTATTATTTTAGAGCCTCAGGAAATTGAGATCTGCACAGAAACCATCCCAGGAGCACAACAGGCAGGTTGAGAATTTGGACACACCCTCCTGGAAGTGAGAAAATTAGTCTTTGCCAGAATAACACACAGCAAGCATTGATAGCAGACAGACAGGTGTTTGGTGCTATGATGGGGCCTTCAGGTGGAGCGGAAAGAAGAGTGTGCAGTGCAAGCCTTTCTCTTAGAGATCTCACAATTTATTTTGCATATTGGTCTCGTGATGTTCTCCAAAACCAAGGTTCTTTCTTCTATCCTTCCTTCCTTCACAGAAGAGGTGCAGTAGGGGCTAAGACACCACTGCCTTTGGGCTGAGCCCTGGTCTCCCTCTCTAGGCTTTGGCTCTAAGCCCCTCATTGAAATCAAGATTCAAGAGGATGGGAGCATCCGGCTGGAGTGCATATCCAGAGGGTGGTACCCAGAGCCCCTCACAGTGTGGAGGGACCCCTGTGGTGAAGTTGTGCCTGCCCTGAAGGAGATCTCCACCCCTGACACAGACGGCCTCTTCATGGTCACCACAGCTGTGATCATCAGAGACAGGTCCGTGAGGAACATGTCCTGCTCTATCAACAACACCCTGCTCGGCCAGGAGAAGGAAAGTGTCATTTTTATTCCAGGTGAGTTCTCTGACCTTTGAGCCTCATCGAGTGCATGGGGGATCCTCAGCACACAGATGGAGCCGAGAGGGGGGGTGGGGCAGCAGTGTGGGTGGCATGGTCCTGGGCCCTGAGGAGCTGGAGGCTGCAGCTGAGGTGAGGCCTCTCTCCTTGCCACAAAGGGAGAATCAAAGAGTCCCAACACACAGGAGTAGGAGCCTCTTCTCTGAGGGTCAGCCTGGTCTTTTTTTTCTTGATTAGGTCTTTATGCTGCAACAATTATAAAATATTAAGGACAACCATAAAACATGGAGAATGGTGTGGATGGGTGACTGCCTACACTTGGCATTTCCATAGCTGCAGCCATTTCTTCCTGCCTATGGGACTTCCCAAAAGACAGAGCTAGGGAAATTCCCTATCAACAGATATTCATAAATATATTCAACAAATGTTCAATAAGCATTCCTTATGTTTAAGACTGTTCTGGAAATCAAGGGTCAATAATTGAACAAAATGTATCAAGATTTCTATCCTCAAGGAGTTCACATTCTAGAGAGAGAGTGTGGCTGGGTGTGGTGGCTCATGCCTGTAATCCCAGCACTTTGGGAGGCTGAGGCAGGTGGATCATGAGGTCAGGAGTTCAAGACCAGCCTGGCCAAGATGTTGAAACACCATCTCTACTAAAACTACAAAAATTAGCTGTGTGCGGTGGCACATGCCTGTAATCCCAGCTACTCAGGAGACCGAGGCAGGAGAATTGCTTGAACCTGGGAGGTCGAGGTTACAGTGAGCCAAGATCACGCCACTGCACTCCAGCTTGGGCCCAGAGTGAGACTCCATCCAAAAAAAAAAAAAAAAAAGAAGTCAGAGAAATATATGAAATAATTGAAACAAGTGATTAAATAAATAATCATCTATATATTCTATCACATGGTGATGAGCATGTAGGAAAAATTAAGCAAAGAGAAAATAGAGCATCCCAGGGGTGTGAGGCATGAGAATAATAATAATAATTACTATTATTATTGTTTTGAGACAGAGTCTCACTGTGTCTCTCAGGTGACCAGGCTGGAGTACAGTGGCACTGTCTCGGCTTACTACGACCTCTGCCTCCCAGGTTTGAGCAGTTCTCCTGCCTCAGCCTCCCAAGTAGTTGGGATTACAGGTGGCTAATTTTTGTATTTTTAGTAGAGACAGGGTTTCCTCATGTTGGCCAGGCTGGTCTTGAACTCCTGACCTCGTGATCCACCCGCCTCGGCTTCCCAAAGTGCTGGGATTGTAGGTGTGAGCCATTGCACCTGGTCGAAGCGTCGGAATTATTAACAGAGTGGTCAGAGGAGACTTCATTGTAAAGATGGAAATTGAGCAATCAAGACAAGGAACCATCAAAAGCCTGAAGGACTGAGCAGCCTAGGTACAGAAAGAGCCTGAGGAAGGAGCATGTCTGACAGTTGTCAGGAGCCCCAGGAGGTGATGCTGGCATGGCTGAAATGAAGTGAGTTCAGGAAGTAGGGGGAGATGAATTCACAGAGGTGATGCAACCACATTATATATGGCAGCACAGGTCATAAACAGACTGACTCTTTGAGTGAGATGGGAAGCACTGGAAGGTTTTGAGCAAATAATTAACATGGTCTCACTTGGGCTGCTCTGCAGAGGACAGACTGCCGATGGTAAGGGCAGAACAAGGAGGGCACTGCAGTATTCCAGGCGTGAGTGATGGTGGCTTGAGGCGGGGTGGTGGCTGTGCTGACTCAGCACGGCGGGTCAGCTTCACACACCGGGTCCTTCCCGTGCTGACTCCAGATGTTTCTGCTTTGCTGCCTCTGGGCCCTGGCCTGGAAGCCACTGAGGTATCAGCCAGCTCTGAGCCAGCATCACTCTCTTCATCTGAGTTTTCTGAAGTAGAAACCAGCAGAGCAGGTGGCTGAGGGAGCTCTTCAGGTGTGTTCCTAAGGGCACTCTCACTTGGATGTTCTATTTCAAACTAAGTGGACTTTTCTGCCTGCCTTTTCAGAATCCTTTATGCCCAGCACGTCTCCCTGGATGGTGGCCCTGGCTATCATCCTGGCCACATCTCCCTGGACGGTGGCCCTGGCTATCATCCTGGCTATTTTCATCATCTTTGTGGCTGTGAGCATCAGTTGCATCAAGAAACTTCAAAGGGAAAGAAAGATTCTTCTGTCAGGGGAGAAGGAGGTTGAACAGGAAGAAAAAGAAATTGCACGTAAGGAATTGGGAAAGGAAGTGTGGAAAAATAGAAACTTTTGTAAAAAGTTAAATGAGTAGGAGGACAGTTCACTGTCATAGAAAGACCACAGCTCTGCCAGGTACCGGCTTAGGGAAGAGAGAGAAACGCACAGCAGCAGCAGCGGCAGCAAGGGCTTGGGACTCGCATGTCCTGAGAATGAATTTTTCGGAGCTTTCGTTCTTCCGTGCTGCACACGTTGCATTCATGTACCGGGCTATATGCAGCACTACATGACTGCACAGAAACAAGTCTAACAATGTGCTGAAACTACCCAGCCATCTGATCACGTATCATTGCTGGTTTCTGAGAGTTCCCTAGGCATAAGGGAAGGGTGATGATGTTGGTGTTTATAGACAGGATGGTTTCGGCATTGTGTAATACAAGCTCAGTTTCTCTTAGTTCTATTGAGGACATGATTTTGTTTGTTTTTCAGAGCAACTTCAAGAAGAATTGAGTAAGTTTAGCTTTTCCTGAACTACTGCGTGTACAATTTGTGTTCGGTTCAGTGAGCAGCATCTTACGACATTCACCTCTGTCTGTCCCTTGCAGGATGGAGAAGAACATTCTTACATGCTGGTGAGTGCCTCTGATGTTCCCTCAGACCTCAGCTTTCTCCCCACTAGCCAGCTAACAGGACTCCTTAGAGGAGAAGAGCAGGGGCGCCCAGGGCTAGGTGGGGACAGCAGGGAATTGGGGTCAGTTCATCAACAGTGTCCCAGCAATGATGCATCGCATCTCTTCTGTCAGGGAATCCTGGCAACTCTCAGTTAACCCTGCAGTTTATGTCCCAGGACCCTTTCTCTTTTAGAGTAATTTAATGCGTGATTGCCAGAGTTTTCCCATGCATAGTAGCCTCCCCAAGACTTACGTTTCAGAGGTTATTGCTCTTTGATCCCGGATCATTTTGAAAGAAGACAGTGCTGTCTTGGCAATGTATGCCCTGGGGTTGGTGTGGACTGTGCACTGTTGAAGACCCACGCGGGGAAGAGGCCACAAGGGTCCCTAACAAGCCTGATGCGATGGTGTACAAATAGGTGGCCAGAAATACCTTTCTGCTTCTAAGAGAGCACTGCTACTCTGCATGTAGCCTGCCAGGGGAGGGAGTTCAGATGAGTGGAGGATGAGTGGGAGAGCACAGAGAAACCAATCACCCACGTTCAGTGAGCACTTCACATGTTATGCTTTGGTACCTGTGGCCGTCAGCACCAGAATCCACGCTTTACCAGATTCCTCTTTGGTGAGTTTTAAAATTGCCACTGTCATTTTGGGACACAATTACAACTTGTCACAATCAGATATATTAAGTTGTGGAAAGGAGAAAATCATTTTAACGCAGTAGAGAGGTAGACTGAGTTAAGTGAGAATACATGCAGATGGGAGCGGTTTGCAGGATGCCTGGCTCCTGGGGCATTTCCCACGTGGGAGAAGTCGTACTGGCAGACATCAGACGCGTGTGGTTAAGGGAAAACTGGATTGAAGTGTGTCTTCCCTGACTTTGCCCACTGACCCCTCAGGCAGCAGGTTTTCTTTTGTACTCAGTTATTCTCCTTCTTTATCCTTTGAAGGGTGCCCTTGTCGGTCACTTAAATCAGTTCTCACCCATTAAAACAACCTATAGGACCAATGAAGAGGTCCTTCCCCACCCAGGACAGTGTGTAATAAGAGACTCACTTAATGGATCCATTGAGGGGAGTGTAGTGGAATGACAGGAGATAAAGCTTCTATGATGGTTTCAGCCGAATTGGAAAGTTTCTAACTAAAGGCAGTCGCAGAGATCAAATGTCTTGAATAGAAAAGGGAACGGATCTTAGAATACTGAAAAAAAGTGGGAACCATTAATTTTGGCTCATTTCCTGAACTCTCTGGATTTCATAGACCCTCGATTCATCTGAACCTGAGGGCGCTGTTTCTGTCTCTGGAGAGACAGAAGTGCAGCTGCAGTAATTCTCAGGGTATGAGCTGCCTGGAATCAGGAGCCCTTCGTGGAAGTGGCCAGTACATAGGGATTCCCCCTGCAGATATCTGAGACCTCTCTGGGGATCAGGAACCCCACAATCCCCAGGGTTCCTGAGACCCCAGGCCTAAACCTGAGACTTCCTCTGCAGCCGATGTGGTCCTGGACCCAGACACCGCTCATCCCGAGCTCTTCCTGTCAGAGGACCGGAGAAGTGTGAGGCGCGGCCCATACAGGCAGAGCGTGCCAGACAACCCAGAGAGATTCGACAGTCAGCCCTGTGTCCTGGGCCGGGAGAGCTTTGCCTCCGGGAAACATTACTGGGAGGTGGAGGTGGAAAACGTGATGGTGTGGACTGTGGGGGTGTGTGGAGACAGTGTTGAGAGGAAAGGGGAGTTCCTGCTGCTTCCTCAGAATGGCTTCTGGACCTTGGAGATGTTTGGCAACCAGTACCGGGCCCTGTCGTCCCCTGAGAGGATTCTCCCTTTGAAGGAGTCCCTTTGCCGGGTGGGCGTCTTCCTGGACTATGAAGCTGGAGACGTCTCCTTCTACAACATGAGGGACAGATCACACATCTACACATGCCCCCGTTCAATCTTTTCTGTGCCTATGAGGCCCTTCTTCAGGTTAGGATCTGATGACAGCCCCATCTTCATCTGCCCCGCACTCACAGGAGCCGATGGGGTCACGGTGCCTGAAGAGGGCCTGACACTTCACAGGGCAGGGACCCACCACAGCCCACAGGATCAATTCCCTGGTCTCACAGCCATGTAGACAAGCCCTGGCCATCTCAGCAGCCACCGCACAATGCCCCTGGTGGAAGACACGCCCTCCCCGCTCTGGTCACATAAGAGGACGTCTTGCAGCTGCCTGTTTCACACCCCGTCCAGACCTCAGCCCCTGTTCACCTCCTGACTAGGCTGTGGCTTTAGCAGTTCATTTGCTTGTTACTGTGGGATGGGATCCAGGCGTAGGGAACTAGTTGTTACACAGCTCCCAGCCAGGAAGAAAGTGTGAGAAGCTGATTGGCAGCGAACCTGCTGTTTAGCATCAGGGTGACGACATTGAGCCCAGTATGCCAGTTGGCACCAGATGCCATGGACTTGGAATGAAGCCAACAGTTTTTGCCAGGATGTGAGAGAAGAGAGGAATCCACACGACCACCGGAGGGGAGAGGGAACCAGATATGCAGGTCAGAGACACGAAGTGGAACCAGAGAGCTGAGAGGGACCAAGGTTGTGAGGGTGGCTGAGTCCCACTATAACAGCTGAGGGGTCCCAGGAGACGATGACTCATCTCCACCCAGCCCCAGGATTTCCAGAGCACACACCCACAGGCCTGGACCTGGGATGAAGATGAATGAAGAACATGGACATGTGGGTGTGGTTGAGTCAGGTGCCCCTGCAGTAAACAAGGAGTCAGTACTCTGTCCTCGAGTGTGGTTGAGATTTGAGGTCCTGGTGGAGCGGGGCAGTACTGGACCAGATCTACCTGAGCGTTCCGGTTCAGTGGGGGCTCCAGTAACTTCAAACTTCCTGGTCTCATGATGTCTTTAGACACTTAGAAATTAGTGAGGACCTTGAAGAGCTTTTGTTTATTTGGGTTAATGTTTGTTAATATTTATGGTCTTTGACATTGAAACAAAAATTTTAAATGTTATTTATTATTTCGTGTTAAAATAGCATGAATAAATCAATTATAGGTTAACATAAATAGGATATTTTATGAAAAAGCAATCTAGTTTGTCCAAACAAAAGATCAGGAAGTATGACATTCTTTAACTTTTTCCAAATCTAACGTCTGGCTTAATAGAAGATGTTTGTATTCTCATATCTGCTTTTCTATGAAACCTATTAGTATATCATAGGGCATACAGGCTCAAAAAAACTTTGCTGCACCCTACTGAGAGAATAAGATGAAAAACAATTAGTGTTTCATTATTGTTATTATGAAAATGGTATTAACCTTCGGGACTCCGTAACAGTGTATCAGAGTTCTCCGTCGGAATCGCCAGACTGTATTTGAAAACTGGAATAGTGGATCCTGGAAGTGAATCCATGTGCTGGTTAATTTCAGGGGTCATCTCAACAGCACTAAGGAATACCTAGACAACTGGTACAACATTATTTCTGGGTGTGTCTGTGAGTGTGTTTCCACAAGAGATTGGCATGTGAATCAGTGAGAAATTCTCCCCTCCAGTTGACTGGGAGCCCAGTATCACAAAAAGGCAGAGGAAAGGCAAATTCTTCTCTCTCTGGAGCTGAGACACTCTTCTTCTGCCCTTGGACATCAGAACTCCTGGCTCTCCAGCCTTTGAACTTCAGGACTTGTTCCAGGAAGCCCTGGGTTCTGAGGACTTTGGCTTTGGACTGAGAGTTACACAATCAGCTTCCCTGGTTCTGAGGCTTCTGGACTTAAACTGAGCCATGCCACCAGCATCCCAGGGTCTCCAGCCTACAGATGGGCTGTTGTGGGATTTCTCAGCCTCTTTGATGACAGGAGCCAATTTCCCTATTAAACGCCTGCTTATACATCTATATTGTATTGGTTTTGTCTCTCTGGAGAACCCTAATACTAACAAGCATCTAAAATTCTGGCTTGAATGGTAGTATTTTAGGCTTTAGATAATTCACTAATCCAATTGGACTGAAAGAATTTAAATAATCAAAATTTTTATTACTGCAGTTGCAAATAGACACATTATTATAGGAATCAGGAGTGATTCTTTCAATACCTGATTTGTAAAGATGGAAGGCAGGGTTGTTTGTGTTAATGTGTATGTCTTAGTCTATTTGGGCAGCTATAACAAAAATACCACCAAGCCTGAATGGTTTGTAAGCAACAGAAATTTATTTCTTGCAATTCTGCAGGCTGGGAAATCTAAGATCATAGATACATGCACACCCCAGCATACTGGTGTGTGGTGAGGGCCCTTAGCCTTGTTCATATGGCAAAGGAGAAAAATTCATCTCTAGGGTCTCCTTTGGAAGGACACTAATGACATTCATTTGGGCTCCCCCAAGCTCAGAGAGAAAACAAAAGGAGATTTCAGACTTCCTGTCACTGCCCTGACCTGCACCTGCCCCTCCTGATCTGTTTTCTCTGATTTAAGAAGCAGTTGTCCTGTCTCCTGTGTCAGGCTAATTCTCCATCCACACCCTGGACTCTCACTCTCCAGTTTCCCTTAGGACTTCTGTGTTCAGTTCATTCATTCATTCCTTCAACAAAAATCAGTGAGTACTAACTACATGCCAATCAGTGTTCTTGGTACTGGGGGCAGAGAAGTGCACAAAGCAGAAAGTCCCATTCATTAAAAACCTACCTTTTGGTTGTAGAAGACAGAAAACAAAATAAGTAGTGACGTATATGGTGTGTTTGATGATGATAACTGATTAGAAGATAAATCAGGGGAAGGAATATAGGAAATCACAATTTCTAAAAGGATGGTAATGAGCAAGGGGAGCGAGGCACAGAATACCTGGGAGAAAAGCATTCCGAGTTGAGAGACGGCAGTGCCAGAGCCCAGAGGCAGAAGCTCTGCAGTTTGTGTGAAGAACAGCCATGAGGCTGGCGTGGCCAGAGCACACAGGGTGTCCAGGAGAATAGGAGGTGACAAGGCCAGAGGAGGTTGAGGGCCGGATCGCATATGGCCTTGAAAGTCATCGTGGTGGCCTGGGCTTTACCTCTGAGAGGGGAGCCGGTGGAAGGTTAGAGCAGAAAAAGCGCTGGATTCACTTATGTTTTAAGAAGTTACTTCACATGCTAGACTGAGATGGGCTGTGGGTCCGGGTGGTGGATGGAAGCCGGAAGACCCAGCTGGGAGCTGCTGCAGTGATCCAGGGGAAGATGCAGATGACTTGGAGCAGGGAGGAGCCATGAAAATGTTAGGATGCTGGATTTATTTCCCAGACAGAGTAACGCTGCTTTGTTGTGAAACTTAGAGACGGCGTCTAAAAGGAGGGCATCAAGGGTGACCACCAGGTTTTGGTCCTAAGAAACGGTCCAGATGGAGGTGCCACTTACTGAGATGGGGAAACTGAGGGAGAAGCAGGCTGTGGAGGCCGGGGGAGGAGCCAGCACAGAATCCGGAGGTCAGCTTTGGATAGGTTCGGGTTGAGGAGCTTACCAGAGATCCCCGTGCAGATGTCAAGTAGGCAGGTCAGTAATAAATGTGCAGTCCAGGTAACGGGTCCGGGCTGGAAACACGTTATTCTCTTTGTCCTCTTCATGTTCGTGTTGTTGCCACTGCCTGTTTTCCTTACCTAATGTGTTAGCGATCTATTGCTGCATAACAAATTACCACAAACTAAGGGATTTAAAACAGCACACATTTATCATTTTAGTTGCTGTGGGTCAGAAGACCAGGCAGAGCTGAGTGGGCTTCTCTGCTCAGAACTTCACGAAGCAAAAGTCAAGGTGCTGGCCCGGCTGTTGCCTCGTCTGGAGTCTTGAATGTGGGAGACTCCTCTTTCCAGATCACTCAGGTCACTGACAGAATTCATTTCTCTACAGTAGGACTGAGGGCCCTGGATCCCTGCAGGCCGGCGCTGGAGGCTGCTGTCAGCTCCTATAGGCCTCCTCAGCCCCCCGCTGTGTGGGTCTCCCATGATGTCTGCTTTCCTCTTCATAGCCAGCTAGCAAGACAGAGCCTCCAGAGTGGGTCAGCTAGCGAGATAGAGCCTTACACTACATAATGTAGTCATGGAAGGGACATCCTATCAGCTTTACCATATTTTATTGGTTGGCAGCAAGCCACAGGTTCAGCTTACACTCAGGGCAAGTACAGGCTACAAACTGCAAGAGGAGTCATCATAAGGGGTCCACTCCAGAGTCTGTCAGCTATGCCATATAGGAAGCTCAAGGTTTTCCCATTGTAACTGCCCTGCTTCCCCTTTCCCTGGGCAGTAAACCCCCACTTGCCTCTCTCTAGGTCTCTACTTCCATACAAGCAATGTCTTAGAAAGAGAACATATGCATGGCCCTGAGGCACTGTCTGCCATGAAGATAGCCACTGCTATACCACACCATAAACATTTCCTTTTTTTTTTTTTTGAGACCGAGCGTTGCTTTGTTGCCCAGCCTGAAGTGCAGTGGTATGATCTCTGCTTATTGCAACCTCTGCCTCCTGGGTTCAAGTGATTCTCCTGCCTCAGCCTCCCAAATAGCTGGGACTGTAGGCATGTGCCACCATGCCCAGCTAATTTTTGTGATTTTAGTAGAGGGGGTTTCGCTATGTTTGCCTGGCTGGTCTCGAACTCCTGACCTTAGGTGAACCTCCCACCTCAGCCTCCCAAAGTGCTACATTACAAGCATAAGCCACTGCTCTTGACCCATAACCATTGTTTCTATCAGTTACTAATGGTTTCTCAACCATTAAATCAGTTAAACATTTCTATTTTTCCTTCCCACCCCCATGCTTTACTTTCAGAGACAGGATCTTGCTGTCACCCAGGCTAGAGTTCAGTGGTGTGATCATAATTGACTGCTGCCTAGATCCCCTGGCCTCAAGTGATCCTCCTGCCTTAGCCTCCCAAAGTGCTGGGATTATAGCTGTGAGGCACTGGGCCTTGCATGGACAGCCCTGAGTTCTTCATAGACCTGCCTGAGTAGGTGTTCCTGCCTGTGTGGCATTTGCCTCATCAATCCCCAGGACCCTCTTGGTTATTTCCCTACTCCTAGGGAGCTCCTTCTCAGAATTCTTGCTTCACTTGCTCTAGAACTGCTGATACTCCTTAGGCTTTGGTCTTGGCCTCTCATTTTGTACCACGTATGCTCTTGTAAGATCCAATCCAATCCATTTTCAGAGCTCTACCCCATAAGCAGACCCCACCAGCCCCTGTGTTTCTGTCTCCAGCCCCACACATTCCCTGAACTCAGTGCCCACTAGGGATCTCACAATGAGTGTGTCCAAAACTAAATTCCCCCCATCAACCCTGCCTACCCATCTTTATCTGAGTGAATGACACTGCCTAACAGTCATTTTAGACTTCTCTTGCTCTCTCTTAACCAACACATCTGACTCATAGCGAAGTCCTGCTATTTGCACTTCCTTTTGATGGTCCGGCTTAGCAGTTACAACACAGACTCTGAAGCAGACAGCCTGGAATCAGAGCCCAGCTCAGGAAGAAACTACTCGTGTAACCACGGGAAGTTATTTAACCTCTCTGGACCTCAGCTTTTACATCTATAAAATGTGGGAAATAAGGTTTCGACCTCTTAATGTTGTTGTGGGTCTTATTAATACATGTAAAGCCCTAAGCACATCTTGGCAGTTTCTACGTAAGTAGTTCCTAGTGTTAATGTTAGTAATCAGTCGAGTCTCCTCTCCCCCACTGCCAAGCCACTATTTCTTGCCTAGAATGTCACGGGAGCTTTCTTCCTGTGACTTTCTTCCTGGTTTCCCTATCTCCTAACATCTGGCTCAGGATGAGGGTAGGCTATATCATGCAACCCCAGCAGGCATCATCTCACCAAATACAAAGTAAATGGCACCCTAACCTCCCATCTTCCCTAGCACCTGCCTCACTGCTGTTTTCAATGTACATATTTCTCATGTCAAACTTTTCAGAGATTTTCCCTTCCCCTTCAGACTAAAACTCCAACTCCACAGCAGGCATCTGTTGATGTTGTCTTCAGGGGAGGTGGACTTAGGAGTCATCAATGCAGGGATCAGAATGGAGCCTTTCAGAATAGAAGAAATGAAATTCATTGAGGGATACTACTTGCAGAGGCTGTGCTAACTCTTTCTTAAATAACTTATGGAGCAGGTCTTATTTCCACCCTACAGATGAAGAAGCAGAGACATAAATAATTAGTTTACTGGCTTTGGGTTCCCAGGCAAATCAGTTGTGGATGACAACAGATAAAGATAGAAAAGCAAGCCTAGAAACAGTAAACAGTGAGCCAGCATGCCTGGAACATGCTGACAGATATCTATATATTAGCTGTAAAGAAAATTTGTGTTCATGGGTGTTCCTAATGGCCATCAGAGGCAGCATAATAACCATGAGAAATGGACATTTCTTGATGAGATGAGACTAAATAAAGGAGACAGACACACCTGTTGCATGCAGGACACCACAGTAGGTCTTGTAAAAGACAAAGAGAAGATAGGATCAAGTGCCTAGGTCTTAGAGGAGGGCTAAGTGCACTTTTCACTTAGAGTACATTCTTGTGACTTACTCTTTTTGATACACTGTTGTAACTAAACATTATCTCATTCCATCCTCACAACAGCAACCCTAAAGCCAAGTACTATTATTGTGCTTATTTTACAGATAGGGAAACCAGCACAGAGAGGTTAGGTAAGTGGGCCAAGGTCACACAGGCCACCTGGCTTCGGAATTGGTGCTCTTAACCAGTTCATTATGCAATCTCTCCTCACTAATTTTGAACTTCAGTGGCTGAGATCTACTAGGTGGTAGGTTCTTAAAAAAAAAAAATTGTTGAATCATTGAATTCATTTCTGCCCCATTTCACATCTGTTTACTTCCCAGAGTTCTGTATAAAGGACTGTATGAGAAATGGACCAAGGGGCCTGACACTTTGGAAGCTACAAAGCTCAGCGATATGAAGTATTGGGCCCAGAAATTCCTAATCTGAAGCTTAGCATCTCAGCTGCTTCTTTGTGTTAAAGTGACTTGGATCCTGCAGGTAAGGGTGGGGTGATCATTCTTACTGCTATAATTTCAAGCCACACAGCTTCTGATAGACTGTGAATTTAAAAATAAACAAATGCAGCTGGACGCGGTGGCTCACGCCTGTAATCCTAGCACTTTGGGAGGCCGAGGCGGGTGGATCACGAGGTCAAGAGATCCGAGACCATCCTGGTCAACATGGTGAAACCCCGTCTCTACTAAAAAAAATACAAAAAATTAGCTGGGCACGGTGGTGCGTGCCTGTAATCCCAGCTACTCAGGAGGCTGAGGCAGGAGAATTGCCTGAACCCAGGAGGCGGAGGTTGCGGTGAGCCGAGATCGCGCCATTGCACTCCAGCCTGGGTAACAAGAGCAAAACTCCGTCTCAAAAAAAATAAAAAATAGGCCAGGCGCGGTGGCTCAAGCCTGTAATCCCAGCACTTTGGAAGGCCGAGGCGGGTGGATCACGAGGTCAAGAGATCGAGACCATCCTGGTCAACATGGTGAAACCCCGTCTCTACTAAAAATACAAAAAATCAGCTGGGCATGGTGGCGCGTGCCTGTAATCCCAGCTACTCAGGAGGAGGCTGAGGCAGGAGAATTGCCTGAACCCAGGAGGCGGAGGTTGCGGTGAGCCGAGATCGTGCCATTGCACTCCAGCCTGGGTAGCAAGAGCGAAACTCTGTCTCAAAAATAAATAAATAGATAAATAAATAAAAAATAAAAATAAAATAAATATAAACAAATGAGGCACAGTGGCTTATGCCTGTAATCGCAGGACTTTGGAAGGCTGAGGCCGGCAGATCACCTGAGGTCAGAAGTTCAAGACCAGCCTGGCCAACATGGCAAAACCCCGTCTCTACTAAAAATAAAAATATTAGCTGGGTGTGGTGGCGGGTCCCTGTTATCCCAGGTGCTCAGGAGGATGAGGCAGGAGAATTGCTTGAAATTGTGAGGCAAAGGTTGCAGTGAGCTGAGATTATGCCACTGCACTCCATCCTGGGAGACAGAGTGTGAGACTTCGTCTCAAAAGAAAAAGAAGCAAATGAAGAAATAAATAAGGATGATGGATGGATAGAGAATGAACAGTGATATGGATTATAATAAAAAAGTTTAACAAAATGTTAACTATATCAATACAATCTACATGGTAGCTATATTGGTATTCACTTAAAATTCTTTCACCCTTGCCATATGTTTTAAAAGTTTCATGATAAACTGCTGAGAAGGAAAAAGGGAGAGGGAAAAATAGTGTACTTTTGCTAATAACAGAGACCAGAAATACACTGGCTTAAACAAAACAAGAGTTTTCTTGTTTTTTTGTTTTCTTAAGATGAATTCAGATGGTGACAGTCCAGGGTTGATCTGGCAGCTCAGAGATGTCATTCAGGCCCTAGCCTGCTTCTGACAGCATTCTCTGCTGCCTCTGCATGTGGCTTCCAACCTCCAGGTTGCCTCGTGGTCGGTCCCAGGAGGGCTGCTCCACGTCCTCAAAAGTCTACATCCTACAAGAGGAAGTACGGAGAGTGTACCCTCACACCCCCAGCTATTGTAGCCCCTCCTTTGAAGGGTCTCTGAAGGAAGTGCAAGCCCACAACTTTCTCCTACAAACCATTGGATCCAGCTTAGTCCCTTGGCCTCTGCTACCTATGAGATGGAAGAGCACATGGCAGTACCTACAAAAATTAGGCCTTATCAGTGAGAAGAAGGGGAAATGCATGACGCAGAGGTGACCATCCGTCTCAACCAGATACTACGCAGCCTAAATTCAAACTGTTGCAATCTAAGCAAATTCCATCAGCCCCAGTCACTTCCCAGCCTTAGGAACTTTGATCACTTGCAATCCCAAAAAGTGTGTTTTGAGGTCCTAGGCCACAGGAGAACCAATTTGTTTCATGAATCTCTTACAGAGACATCAGTCACAGTTTATCTAGAGTCCAGACTCAGAGAATATGTACTCCACTGGCAGCACGAGAAACAAATGCACAGGTAAATGCAATATAGCACAAACCAAGAGCTGAGGGTGAATGAAGATGCTCAGAAACACCTGCACTAAAAATTTCCTGAAAAAGGTAAAACATGTCTAGCAGCACTGCCTCTGGAAACCAGACCAGTTATACTATTTTATAACAGATCCTAAGCCTGGATGCTGGAAGTGCTTAAAAGTGTACATCATAGCCGTGCTCAGTGGCTTACGCCTGTAATCCCAGCACTTTGGGAGGCCGAGGCAGGCGGATCACGAGGTCAGGAGTTCGAGACCAACCTGGGCAACATGGTAAAACCCCATCTCTACTAAAATACAAAAAAATTAGCTGAGTGTTGGTGGTGGACACCTGTAATCCCACCTACTCAGGAGGCTGACGCAGGAGAATCCCTTGAACCCTGGAGGCAGAGGTTGCAGTGAGCCAAGATTATGCCGCTGCCCTCCAGCCTAGGTGACCCCATCTCCAGAAAAAGGAAAAAAAAAAGGGCATTGTGGGTCAGGTGCGGTGGCTCATGCCTGTAATCCCAGCACTTTGGGATCGAGGAGGAAGGCACTTGACCTTACGAGTTTGAGACCAGCCTGGCCAACATGGCAAAACCCCATTTCTACTAAAAATACAAAAAGTAGCCGGGGATGGTGGCGAGTACCTGTAATCCCCGTTACTCGTGTAGCTGAGGCAGGAGAATCGCTTGAACACGGGAGGCGGAGGGAGGTCACAGTAAGCTGAGATCCTGTCACTGCACTCCAACCTGGGTGACAGAGTCAGACTCCATCTCAAAAAAAAAAAAAATACGCATTGTATCTGGTTTTCTTTCCATTCACACTTTTATTTGACTCTGAGGTAAAATATCCTCTTCCTTCATGTACCCATATTCATGCAAGCAAATGTTAGCAAACTGCCACAATAGCATTTTAATTAGTGCACATATTTCTCTTTAACCACATTAATAACTTTTCCCATTTTGTTCTGCCGATATTTCTATTATGATAAAAGACATAAGGCAAGTAAATATATAGAAATATGTATATACATATAGACACAATAACGAAAGAGAGAAACACAAACACTAAGGGAGGTGGGGCTGGAATTTTTCTTCAGAGTGTACAATGTACTTTCAGTTTTCATTTCAACCTTCGGCAGTGGTTTCTGCCCAGCAACTGATGAGAAACATCACCTCTGAGCCAATCAAAACACGAATTCTTCCAAAGAGCGATTGTTACTATTTCTCTCGGTGAGCAGCCAGCCTCTGCTTTCTCTTTCCTTTCTTCCAGATCGAGACTCAACCATAATAGAAAGAATGGAGACCTATTAACTGCTCTTCTTTGTGAGCTGTGGTTTTCAGAGGGGAATGTTAAGAGGTAAGTGGGGGATATTGATTAGAATCCAGGCCACGATGCCTGGGAGGACGGGCTGAATCTCTCCGTATGCTGAGTGGGTATTCAGGGAGAGTTCTCGCCAAGAGGAAGGGGTGTGGTGCCCGAGGGGTGTGCCTGAGGGGTCTGCGCTTGCACACAGGTGTACACAAGGAAAGGGGAGACCTAGTACAAGAATAAAGACCCGCAGAGGTTGGAATTTGGTATGAGGGAAGGGAGACAACATAAATGAATGAATATACTAGTTGCATGGTTTTTTTTTTAGACAGAGTTTCGCTCTTGTTGCCCAGGCTGGAGTGCAATGGCACAATCTTGGCTCACTGCAACCTCAACCTCCTGGGTTCAAGCAATTCTCCTGCCTCAGCCTCCCAAGCAGCTGGTATTATAGGCATGCACCACCATGCCCGGCTAATTTTTTTTTTTTTTGTATTTTAAGTAGAGACGGTGTTTCTCCCTCCATGTTGGTCAGGCTGGTTTTGAACTCCTGACCTCAGTGATCGGGTTCCTCCTGCCTCACCCTCCCAAAGTGCTGGGATTACAGGCATGAGCCACCTCGCCCAGCCAATTGCATGTTCTTTAGAACGTATTGTGATAAGAAAAGGGAAAAAAAATATTTAAAATCTGTTCTGGCCAACTCAAGGCATTTATTCCAAGAGATGCGCCTTATAGATTCATATGTAAATTTGTTCATTACAGAAATATTTATAATATAGAAAAATCTGAACCAGCATACATATACAACAGGTGGGGGCTAGACAAACAATGCATGGTTCAGTTGCAAAAGGGATTATTTCCATGCAGCCTTTAGGAACTGTGTTTTGAATGAAGAACAATTATTTATAGTTTTAACAACATTAGATCCGTACATTAAACCTTGTTTTGTATTTTTTAGGAACAGTATGTGTTTTTCCTTCCATTCATCATTTCCCCAAAACATTCATTTGGAACGTTTTTCAATGGATACAGTTTATTTCAATGTATGACTATACAATTCTTTTTTTTTTTACCTCTTCCCTTGTTTGGGCTATTTCCCTTTTCTACATTTGGCTGTTGTAGATTTTACTATATTGAACAACTTTAAACATAAATTTTTCTCTTAATCTCTGATTTTTTTTTCTTCAATTCTAATTTCTAAAAGTGGAACTTTTGGGTCAAAGCATACAACTTTTTTTTTTTTTAATAGCCTTCCTTGGTAAAGCATATAACTTTTTTTTAAGGCCCTTGTTGTATATATGGCCAGAATCCTTCCAGAAATATTTACATTCCCACTACCAAAGTATATGATTACTACTATAGTTTTTTTTGTTTGTTTGTTTGTTTGTTTTGAGACGGAGTTTCACTCTTGTTACCCAGGCTGGAGTGCAATGGCGCGATCTCGGCTCACCGCAACCTCCGCCTCCTGGGTTCAGGCAATTCTCCTGCCTCAGCCTCCTGAGTAGCTGGGATTACAGGCACGTGCCACCATGCCCACCCAGCTAATTTTTTGTATTTTTAGTAGAGACGGGGTTTCACCATGTTGACCAGGATGGTCTCGGATCTCTTGACCTCGTGATCCACCCGCCTCGGCCTCGCAAAGTGCTGGGATTACAGGCTTGAGCCACCGCGCCCGGCCTATAGTTTTTTATTTTATTGACTGATCGATTTATAGAGACAGGGTCTCATTATCTTGCCCAGGCTGGTCTTGAACTCCTGGGCTCAAGGGATCCTCCCACTTCAACCTCCCAAGTTGCTAGGATTATAGGCATAAGCTACTACTTAAACTTGTTTTCTCTTTTGCTTTTCTTCATTTGATATATTGAATGGAATCAGGGGAAAAGTATACATATATCCTTTAAAAAGAATGAAAATATATGTCTTATTCTAAAGATAGCAGAGAAATTGTGAACTCAGGGACAATGATAGTAAAAATGACACCCCATTTATAGCAACATAAGGAGCAGCTTTGAGGAGCAGAAGACGTGAAATGCAATGTTTAGTCTGGGTGGGTGCAAGATCCAGGCGGGGGTGGGGACAGCCGCTACACAGACCTCTGTTCCCTTGCTTCCGGTTCCTTCCGTCCCACCTCCCTCTGCAGCCCTTGTGCTCAGAGGCCATCCCCAGACCCACAGCAGCAGGTGTTAGGGCTGCAGGCCTCATGTTCCTTTGTTTTGGGAGAAACCGTTAAGGAGTTAGTATTTACTGAGCAGCTTATATGTTCCAGTCACTATTATAACTCATAATAATTATTGTTAAGTAATACATGAAAAAACTTAAATTTAAAGAATTCCAATATTTTAAAAGTAAAGGGAGCAAAAGGCCAGAGTGTCCTTTCACTCACTAACCTCTGATCTTCAGTTCAGCATTCATCTTTTTAGACATTTTCAGGCATTTACATATGTAGTTATGCAGAAATGCAAAGCTTTGCTTTTGTTTTCAACTGAATCATTAGTATAGGTCTGCAAGGTGCTTTTTGATCACTTAGTGTATCTCCATTATCCAGGCTCATGACAATAAATCAACTCTTTTTACCCGCTGCACTGAATTCCCTCTGACGGATGTCATCGTTCCCCTCAGCAGTCTCTGCTGGGTGGCTGGCTCAGTTGGTTACCACTTTTATATTAAAAATAGTGCTGCAGTGTTGTTCACACAGAGACTTCTCCCTGCACCCATGCAAGTACTTCGCTAGACTAAACTTCAGAAAGTGGAATTTCTGGGCCAATTGTGCACATTCTGATTTTCACATTTCATGATATTGTGAGTAAATAAAGTTCCAGTGGTTTTGTCCCATGACCAAGATCACTTTCAGCTTGTGAATCATAGAGTGTTTGCCTATTGCTTACCTTCTTTGGGTCCTTAACACTAACATAGTGGGCCTGGCCCCTTGTGGATGCTCAGTAAGTATTTGTTGAATGACTTTATGAAGGGAAGAAAGAAGTAAGGCCTGGTCTTATTTGCAGTTCTCTGATCACTAGCCTTGGATTAAATGTGGTGGGTTCAGCCCCTCACTGACTCCAAGGCCCCACCAGGCAGTCTTCTTGAATCCCACCAGGAGTCCACTGGGCCATGAGTTGAACATGATAATGGCCAAGAGCTGAGGCTTTGAGGGGTCCACAGTGTTGGACACTCATGGTGGTGGACTGGGCAGAACCAGGGAGTCCACTGAAGAGGGTCCTGCATGAATCAGAGGGGGATGACAGAGGGTTGGACGGGCAGAGAAAGTTTGGGGAAGCAATAGGATGCTGAATATTTTCAAACAGTAGAGTGAGGATGTCCTGATCGGATAACAGATGTGCATTTTACGTAGACATGGTTTTACAGGTGATTTTCCATGTTGGAACTACAGGTAAAGACACTCAAGGACAAACATTTTTGGCAGAGGTAAGATCTTCAGTCACCATACTTGACTTTGCCCTGGGGGAAGTGGAGGTTTCCATGTTAAATCCTAAAGCTTCTTCTGGGCCACAGTGTCTGACTCACACCTTCTGGTGTCTCCTGATACACAGCACAGATGAAATGGCAAGTTCCCTGGCCTTTCTTCTGCTCAGCTTTCATGTCTGCCTCCTCTTGGTCCAGCTGCTCACTCCTTGCTCAGGTAAGGAATGATTCCACGCTTGTTTCTGAAGCAGACAATTACCTATTAATATCCTCATAGAACCTTTAACTCCTCCACATACCTAAAGTCCGTCCCAACCCGTGGGTTCACATGTCACTCAGAGACAAATGGTGCTTCCCTTAGGATCGTGTTCCCCTCTAGGGTCTCTGTATCTCACTTTCCCTGTCTGAGAAGCACCCTTCCTCTCATGATGCCAACCCCAGCACCCTCTGACGAAGCCTCCCGCTTGTGCCGACAGCTCAGTTTGCTGTGCTTGGACCCCCTGGGCCCATCCTGGCCATGGTGGGTGAAGACGCTGATCTGCCCTGTCACCTGGTCCCGACCATGAGTGCAGAGACCATGGAGCTGAGGTGGGTGAGTTCCAGCCTCAGGCAGGTGGTGAGCGTGTATGCAGACGGAAAGGAAGTGGAAGACAGGCAGAGCGCAGAGTATCGAGGGAGGACTTCGATTCTGCGGGATGGCATCGCTGCAGGGAAGGCTGCTCTCCGAATACACAACGTCACAGCCTCCGACAGCGGAAAGTACTTGTGTTATTTCCAAGACGGTGACTTCTATGAAAAAGCCCTGGTGGAGCTGAAGGTTGCAGGTGAGCCTCCGGGTTTTGTTCTGAGAATATTTCTCCATAGGCTCTAGAACAGATGCAGAGTTCCTCTTCCAGAAGCACTGCAGACAGCCCTGGCTGCTCACTAGCAATTGCCTGTGCTGCCTTCCAACTTAGCCTCTCTGAGCCCCTTGAGTAGGACACAGGTTTTCCTTTAGGAAGAATTCCTGCTGTGCCCTACATGCTCAAGTAAAGAATTCCCTTCCTCTGGCCACCAGAGACATAAGGCAAGTGAAGGAGGAGGGATAGGAAGCATAAGAAATTGTCGCGTCAGTGGCTGGGACACAGTCATTTTGGTCTAATTGAGTAACAGACGGCTCCTGTTGTGTCACCAAGTGCACAATACCATGGACCTGGGAGGTGCCATAGGGACTGTATCTGCTGCCAGTGTTTTCCAATCAGTGACTCCCAGGAACACTTTTGTAGTAAAATGAGGCGTGTTTCTCACTTGTTGCATTGAGGAAGAACACACATCACAGGGAGCTGTGGCAGGGTCTCAGTCAGAAGGTGTTAGAGCAGACTTAGTATACAATTGGGCCTGTGTTAGGGGACTTGGGGGAGGGTTTATAGACTTAGTCCTCCGCTCTGGATGAGATGCCATCAGGAAGGCGTGGCAGGTTAATTCTGTGAGTGGGAGCCTTAATCAATCTTATCTAGGAGGAAGGAGACTAGGGTGAGACTAAAGCTGCAATTGAAGGGGCGGCAGTTCCTCACTGCCGCTGGGGGATGTTTGGTTGGGGGATGTTGCTGTGGTTTGGACAATGTTCATGTTTTCCTCTGCACTCACGCATGATGTGAGTGGTCTCATTTTTCCCATGATCTGTCATAGTCACAAAATGCCATGGTCTGATGCTGGTGTTCTGTGAAATTGCTTTTGATAACAGGAGGATGCCGAGTTCCTGCTGTCACTTTCAGATGAGGGGGCTGCTCTTTTCTTTCTCAGTGCAATCCCTTTCCCTGTGGCTTCTATTTAAGGGTTTGGTCAGTCGGGATCTATAGCAGAGGATGAAGGGAGAGAGAGAAAAGGAGAGGCCTGGGTGCTTATTCCCTGGCTTCCTTCCTGCCAGGTACCCTCAGGCTGGCCACATTGCCTTGCTGAAGGTCACTGCTCCTCTCAAGAAAGTCCTCAATGAATGAATCTTTTCTTTTATGTCCTCAAAACAGCTCCCTCTGTTCTTCCCACTGGTAATTCAGGTGGGTGGGAATAGCCCCACTGTTACTGACCCTGGGAAACTGTACTCATTCATGGCTTCTGTGATGTGCCTCCTCACCAGAACTACACTTTTGTAAACCACTCTGGAATGAAATTATTCTTGAATTATGGCGTGTGAGTGTGCCCGTGATTCCTGTTGAGACCATCCCTGATACAGGATCTCTCCAGAATTTAGGCTGATTTATCCTTCTACAGCACTGGGTTCTGATCTTCACATTGACATGAAGGGTTATGAAGCTGGAGGGATCCATCTGGAGTGCAGGTCCGCTGGCTGGTACCCCCAGCCCCAAATACAGTGGAGCGACACCAAGGGAGAGAACATCCCGGCTGTGGAAGCACCTGTGGTTGCGGACAGAGCGGGTCTGTATGCAGTAGCAGCATCAGTGACCATGAGAGGCAGCTCTGGGGAGCGAGTGTCCTGCATCATCAGAAATTCCCTCCTCGGCCTGGAAAAGACAGCCAGCATTTCCATCGCGGGTCAGTGCCTGCTTGTCCTCAGCTTTACCGAGCTGAGCTGTGGCAGTTGAATGAAGGGGGATGTGTGAGTCTCTACTGTGTGAGTCTCTCGAGTCGACCTGGGTCTCTGCACTGCA